CTCTAAATTGATCAGGCCACACGATATAGATTTGGAAGAAGTTCGTTCTGATGCGCTACCCGCAATCACCCAACCCAATCGCGTCTTTTGTAAATATAGATCATGAGCATTGTGATAAGTTAATTTGACCCACGGAGAATAACGACAATGTCGATCCGGAACCGATTAAAAGGTCGACTGGACGTGGTGAATGGAAATCCGGATTCGCCAACTTGATGTTCGCGGGTATTTTTATGGTGTCTCGCGGAAAGATATCGGATGGTATCAAATCCGCGATAGCCGGAATAGACAGACATGTCAATTGTTTACGAAAACTGCCGCGCATTGACTGTATTGTTATTTGTACCATACTCTTCGATTCAGTGCTCATGGTATTAATCGCACTGATCGGACATGGGTGCGCGATTGCAGGCACACCTAAACGTTTTACTAAGGATTCGGATATGAAGTTCGCGGATGCACACGTATCTAACAGGGCGCGACATCGAATGAGTTCGTTCTTATTGTCGTGGACGTATATCAACGCGCTCGTTAATAATTGCGAAGTAACGTTATGCGATATCGCGGCTAGACTTGTAGTTTTTCGCGTGGCCTGATCGGATAGTCATTGGGAAGTGGTAGTCGCGGATTGCGCCGTCTCAGATTTGTCGACGGACTTGTAATTGTCGAGGTGCAATAACGTATTGTGACGTTTTTGGCATATCGAGCAGCTCGAGAATTTACAAGGCCTGTCTCTATGAGAACGCAAACAGTTGTAGCAAACCTTCGCCGATCTTACTAATTCAATGCGTTTAGGGACCGGCAGCTGCTTGAATTTGTCGCATACGAATAGCGGATGTCGTTTGGCCTTGCATGCAACGCAGTTTCGCGATGTGTTCAAAACGAACGCCTGGTTTGAGGACCTCAGTTTCCTTTTAGCGGGGGTATCGTTCTTAGACCTTTCCGTCTCGAAAGATCTCGATCGATCTCGCTTTGATACGCAAACCGCGGTTTTGTACAGAAACTCATAGAGTTGATCGACCTTCGGGAATTCATCTCTTTCGAGACTCGCTTCCCATTTTTCTACCGTGGTCCTTGGCAATTTACTTTCCAAAATATGGACAATCATTTCATGTCCGACTGAGACTCCCAGTACGCTTAAGGAAGCAAGATGCTGTTGAGCATCGTCGGCGAGTTTCGATAAGCCGTTTGTGGTCTCCTTTTCTAACGTCGGCATGTTAATGATCGACGAGAGATGCCGAGAAATTAGAACTCGCTTTACTTCATATGCGCGTTCCAGTAATTCCCACGCTTTCGAGTAGGTTGTTCCGGCGATTGTGAAAATCTTAATTTTATTCGCGGCTTCCCCGGTTAACGCCGATTTTAAGTACTGTAATTTGTCAATGTCGGATAAATCCGACCGTGACCCGATCATATCATGGAACGAGTTTTTAAAGGACAGCCAATTTTCGAATTTACCCTCGAAAGTCGGTAACGGTGCTTCGGGTAATTTAATACGTCGTTTCGGCATTGATTCGATTCCGTCGGCACGATTTTCGCCGTTTGACACGCTAGAACCATTGCTCGATACGCTCGCCGTCGATACGCTCGCCGGGTTGAGAATATTGTTAACCTTACTCGCGAGTGCGTAAAACCGATCCCGAATTTGCGTGAATTCGTTTCGGTGTTGTTCGTTGGCATCTAATACCTCGAGCTCGTCATTGTATTCTTCGAACGCGCGATGCAATTCTGTGAGACGTGCTATTCGTAATTTTAACGTTGCCCGGTCTAATTTGCCCTTTTCGACTAGATTCGCTAGGTTAGTAATTTGCGACTTTAAAGACGTTCGCCTTTGTACCAGCAACTTAACTCTATCGGCCATCGTTATACGATTTGAACCCGAATTGAGACCAAGCCTACTCTATCGTTTCGATCGTGAATGAATACTGGCCTTTAGCTTGTCGTTGATATGATCCTGTGCCGGCGCGTGGAAGATTCCCGGCCTGTCTTCTCCTTTCTCGACTGGATGTAGTGTGTGCTGTATCTCCTTGCGTGTGCCAGGTTCGCGAACCTCACAGGAGGCACCAAAATGTTCAGTCTCAACACGAACAGTATTCGTGTTCGTGCTGTGGTTTCGTGTAATAAACAGTTGTGTTGCTTGTGAATAGACTTGTTTATTGTTCAGTCTTAGAATACGCCACAAAATCACAATGTCTCGCACTCGCGATGAAGATACCCGCGACAACGCCTTGGGGCTGTTGCCCTGGGTCGCGGACGATTCGCGTGTAACGCGCTTATTGTTTTTTATATCGTTTATTGTCACGATAATTATGTTGTCCGGCGACGACGCCTTGGGGCTGCTGCCCTGGGTCGCGGACGATTCGTATGTTCGGTGACGACGCCTTGGGGCTATTGCCCTGAGTCACCTTCACGGATGCTACGGTTCGCGACTCTCACTGAGCTGATCACGATTGACAACCTGGATATTATCGACGTGAGCACTCCCGATGCACGTAGGAGATCGTTCTGTGTACTGATTATCCGGATCACGGGTAACGACCTTATATACTGCCCGATTCCCACCAAGACTCCAGGAAATTTTCCCAAAATCTTATTGGTGGGCCCTTGGGTCCGCCTATCGATCATCGATCAGCGGCTCCCAGACATCGGAGAAAACAAAGGGTGCGGGGATTACGGAAGCCGCGCGCCCGAGCTCACCGGCGCCGTACATGTTCGAACTCGCACCGCCCGCCGCCCCTAATCTTTATAAACAAGATTGCGCGGATGCGTCGACAGACGGTCGCCTGTGTCGACGCGCGTGTTCTGTGCCGCTTATGTTATCGTCCTTTGTTGTGTACATATATGTATGTACGTACATTACGTCGTAGAAATGTCGCGCACGACCTTCCTACGACGCAACCCCGTCCTTCCTTATCCTTCCCCCACGTGCACGAAAGCGTAGAGTTCGAATTTTATCATTGACTCATCGCATGTATGCGCTGGAACGCGCACATCGTGTCCGACTCGTGAGAGACGCTACGCAACAATCTGTTTAGCAGTCTCCTTAGCCTTAGCTCCCAGCTTCCCCTTCACCACTTCTATCTTGGTGACCACGGGGAGTTTCCTCTGACTTTTCTCCTTGCCCGGTTGTCCACTGGGGATTCTCGCCATCGCTCCCTGGCATCTGATGATCAGGTTTTCCAGGTTGCGCTTCACGTCTCGCGGGTCTCCCTTCGTGATCTCTCGGATGGAGACTCCCTCCATCACCTTCCTTATTCCTTCCATGGCCACCTCCAGAGGTGGCTCTTCGAGGATTCTTCTCCTTCCTTGTATCGTGGGGCGGTACACCGGGTCTGCGCTTTCTCCGGCCGTCTCCGTTTTCTTTGCCCCTTGTTTGGCTTTACTAGCCTGGGCCTTGGGTTGCTCGCGTTGTTCGGGTTTTGCGGGCCTCTGGGACAGCGGAGGGTCCTCCCGTATTCGTATTTCAGGCCTCTCCTCTGCATCCCACCTGGCTTGACTGCACGCCATCTCCGCCCTTATCCTCGCATCCCTTTCCTCATGCAGCAGCGTGGTTACCCTCGCTACCTGTTCCTCCAGGCTCTTAACTCTATATTTGAGCCTTCCTGTTTCCTCCTCTAGCGCAGCGTTGTGAGAGTCCACCGTCCTCGTGGCAATCACGGTGGCCGCTGCCCTCAAGTTTTTGGAACACTTTTTAAGTTGCCTTACAAATGTTCCCTTGAGGTTTTTCGACCTCTCTGCGACTTTTACGACAACGTTAACATTGTCGAACATGTCCGCCGCCAGTTGGGTATTGTTGAAGCTCTCCATCTGCCGGACCGTTTCTCTTTCCGGCGTGATGTCCCGCGGAAGCACCTTCGGGTTCAGTGCCTCAGCGAGTGCCTTCTGCTCTGCTTGGAGTTTCGAGATCTCCTTTCTGCACTCCGTCTTCTTCCTTTTCTTCAGGCCCGCAAAGGTGGTTGTTGGCCTGCCTCTCTTCTTTCGTTTGCCCGTGGCTGTGTCCACCAACGAGCTCGCCGAACTTTCCTCCTCCGTGAGTGGGTCTTCATTCACCACATCAAACTCTACCTCCGTATCGGATCCATCTAATTCCGACTGCGGAAGCGGGAGGTCTCTGGCTCTTTTGAAGCTCACCGGCCCTGGTTTATTGCGGCGTGTGTCTCGAGAGTGTCCCTCTCCTCCATTTGTTGCCAGGATGTCATGTAAGATGACAATGGCATCTCCTTGTCGGGTCTTCCCTTGGGAGTTATCCATCCTCCTACCATCTCCCTTGGGAGTTACCCGTCCTCCTACCATCTTTTCGTCTTTGGTTTGTTGTGAGGGTTTCATCATGTGGCAGATATTATTCAAACCAGTTCGCCCATCATGGGACCCCCACCGCGGTGGGGGTACAATCCCTGGTATTAAGAATCCCTAGTTACAGACCGAGCAGTGGAGAAGCCATTTTCGGGGAGCCACCCCCTATCTCGGTCGATGACTCTACAAAAAATATCCCTGGAGACGGCCAGGCCCACCATTATGTTAAAGTTTTAGCCTCACCCCCGGAGCGGAGCGCGCACCGATCCGATCGGCCGCATACTCCTCCCCAGGGCTTGAGGTTCGCAAGGGATTCTCCCCCCTCACAGAGGTATGAGAGGACGCTGACTACGCGCCTCTCCATACCCGCGCCCGGACTGCCGGCTTCAACGCCCTGATAGGCTCCAGACAGACGAAACGGGAGCGGTTTTCCCACATTAAACATGCAACTTCCTGCGGACTTTGCCAGTAAACTGGGCTTACGGTCCCGCGTAGTCCATGGCAGAGGTCAGGTACAGACGTCACCGCTCGTCCCCGGTCGGGGGGTTTACTACTCCCCCCTTGGTTAGTCGCAGGGAAATATCCACCGGCAGCCGACCGCGGCCCACTCACACACCACGCACACTACCGATCCTCCGCCCTCCACGGCCAGCCCCGTACGCCAGGCCGCACGCCCCAGCAGCGGGACGTCGGCCCCAGACGCAGGGACTGACCGCTTCATCGCGGAGGATCGGGTGTTGGCCAGCAGGATTGTCGACCAACGGCCCCGGACCACCGGGCTCCGCCTGGGAATAAGTCCCAGCGGCCCCGGCGGTCCCCAGGCGATCGGGCCCCGCCTCGGAAACGTCCGAGCGGCCCCGATCCCCGTCTATCTTCCGGCCCACTCCGCGGATCCTGGGTACCAGTTTACCGCGGAGGTCCGGCCCCTCCCCCCGGAAGAAACGGACCACGTCCGAGTCAACCGCGCGGAGGCCACGGCTTCCGGCCCACCCTTCGGCCAGGACCACGTCCTGTAGTGCCTCCGGGGTCCGGCCCTCCTCCGCCCGCGAGCACGTCCACGACGAGCTCGTTGACAG